CAAGACTATGTTCCTATCAAAAATGTTCCTTTTCCTCCATCTCTTCACCAACATTTGTAATTTCTGGTTTGTTTTAATTTTTTTTTAAGATTTACTTATTTATACAAGAGCTGGGGTACAGGCCAGAGATGTGGGAGAGTAAGAAAATTCACCAGACACAGAGTGGGGAGCAAAACAGGCAGACTACCAAAAATACAGCTGAGGGAAGCAGCAGGTGAGACAGGAGAGGTTTGCCACACCATGTGGTAATCTCCCCAGCCTGTTGGGAATCAAACCTGTGTTGCAGAGGCTGCGCACAGATTCACAGCACTGCGCTCAACCTGCTGTGACACCAGGGAAGACTCTGGTTTGTTTTTATTTGTATTTTGTTTATATATGAGCCATTCTCTTAGGACAGAGATAGTACCTCATTGTGTTTTTGGTTTTTATGTGATGATGTTAAGTGGTACTGAATACAAATGGTAGCCATTTGGGATTTTTTGTTTGTTAGTTTGTTTTTTAGAAATGTCCATTTTGAATTTTACTATTCCACCCAATTTTTGATTCGGCGGTGTGTCTTATATACAATGTGCAAGCATTCTCTCCCATTTAGTAGGGTGTGTTTTTCATTTTAGATTGTTTCTTTGTTGTATGGGAATTTTAGTTTGTTTTTTGTTTATTTTTGTTTATTTTTTTTTTCCTTTGCCATTGGAGTAGAGTTACCAAAGATATCACTGGGATCAATGTAATGAATTGTTTAACATATATTTTCTTCTGATTATTTTATGGTTTCAGGACTTAACATCCAAACCCTTTATCCATTATGAGTTAATTTTTTGTGTATGTTAGGAGAGTGGTTTATTATTTGAGACTGTCTAGTTTTTCCAGCATCGTTTATTAAGGAGACATTTTCCATTTTATAACCCATTCTATTCCCCATTCTATACTTACTTTTACATTGTATATGCTTGGGATATTTGTCTATATAAATTATGTATAAATTATGTTTTACTTCTTGTCTGTCAATTCTATCCCATTGTTCGATGTGTCTAATTTTATTCTAATACAACACTGTTTATTATAACTTTAAAATGCAGTTTGAGGTTTGAATTATGATGTATCTGCTATTTTGTGTCAAGATTACTTTGATCATTCAGGTCTTTTGAGGTTTCATATTTATTTCAGCAACGTATCGATTTCCTTGAAGAATTCCATGAATCTATGATATGATTGCATTGAATCATACATTGTTTTGGGAAGTAAGACAATTTTAAGCAGTTTAAGTCTTCTAATCTATAAGCAGGAAATATATTTCTTGTCCTTTATATCTTCTATTTAACAATGTCTTAGTTATTTTTGAATAGTCCTCTCATTTCCCTTATAATGTTTACTCCTAGATATTTAATACTTGTTGATAGCTCTATAAATGGGGATATTTCCTTGATATCTTTGCAGTTTTTTTTTTCTAGTGTGCGTGTGTGTACAGGAATGTGACAACCTAATGTATATTGATTTTGCAGCCTGCTGGTTTACAGATTGATCCTTTCCAATAATTTTGTGGATTATATAGGTTTTTTTTAAAAAAAAAAAATATTTATGCATACAAGAACTGGAGTATAGGCCAGAGGTGTGAGGGTGAGAAGATTCACTGTAGACAGAGTGAGGAGCAGAACAGGTGGATCTACTGAAATAACACTGCTGAGGGGAGCAGCAGGAGAGACAGGAGAGGTCTACTGCACCATGTGGGTAGCTCCCTGGCCAGCAGGGGATCAAACTCTTGCTGCAGAGGCTGCATATATCTTCTGAGTGCTGTGCTTAACCCCTTGCATCACCAGGGAGGTCTATATACTTTTTTTGTATGTGTGCATATTGTTTTGTCAGCTACAAATAGTGATAATTTTACTTCTTCCCCATTTGGATTTCTTCTATTCCTTTCTCTTTCCTAATTAATCTCTCTAGGGAGTCCACTACTATGTTGAATAGTAGTGGTAAAAGCAGAAATTCCTTTCTTGCACCTGATCTTAAAGGATACTTTCACCATATGTGTGATTTAAACTGTGTTATTTTTTAATATAGCGCTTTTATTATGCTACCTGTTCCTTATATTCATATTTCTTTAAAATTTTTCATCACAAATGAACGTTGACTCTTTCAAATGAATATTTTGCATGTATTGATGTAGTAATGCAACATTAATATTTCCTTTTTAGATATAAGGAACTGCATTGATTGATTTTGTATGTTGACCCATCTTTGAAACCCAGAAATATATACTGATTGATCATGATGCATTATCTTTTAATGTATTTTGAATTTGGTTTGATCAGATTTTATTGAAGATATTTATCATGAATATCATTTTAGTTTTCTTTTTTGTTTTGATATCCTTGTCTGCTTCTGCTATTAGAGTAATTTTAGACTTGTAAAATGTTTTTGAAGCTTTACCACTTCCTCAAACTTTTGGAAAGCTTTGAGAAATATGATTAAAATTTATTTATTTTTTAAAGATTTATTTATTTATGCATACAAAAGCTGGAGTACAGGCCAGATATGTGGGAGGTGAGATGATTCACCAGAGACAGAGTGGGAACAGCAAAGGCAGATCGACCGAAGTACACTGCTGAGGGGAGCAGCAGGTGATCAGGAGAGGTCTGCTGCACCATGTGGGTTGCTCCCTGGAAGGCTGGGTGATCAAACTCATGTTGCAGAGTCTGTAGACTGCTTCACAGTGCAGCACTTAACCCCTTGTGCCACAAGAGTGGCCCATGTGATTAAAATTATAGAAACTTTTCTAAAACTCACTGGTGAAACAATTCATTACTCAGCATTTCTTTTTTGGTAGACTTTTTTTTAAAGTTTAGTATATATTTAATTTATTTTTGTAGATAGGGTTTAAAAAATGAAATATTGAAGGATGAGATATTAACTCATGCCCCATAGTTCATGGCGATAAGTCAGAAGTGGCACTTTTTTTTTTAAATTTGTAATTAGATGTTTCTTTAAATACATATATATTTTACATCATTGTTCATTTTTGTATAATATTTGATTTTTCCTCACAGGCATAATCCCCATAAAATTCCCACCACCAAGCCAACCATTAAGTTTCGCCAGTCTCTTGTGCTTTTTCCTTCCCTCTTTTGATCTTTTACTCTCCCCCTCCCCTGTTATATGTCTCAATTTATAGTTTCCTGCTAGTTTTGTCTTTTTTTTTCTTGTTCAAATTAAATTTATTTATTTTCTTACATCATTGTTCATTTATTTACAGTGTTTGATTTCTCCCTTCAGATGTAGGCCCTGTAGTTCTCCCACCCTTTGCCTACCCCTTGTTTGGTTTCCCTATATACCTTCTATAAGTTAAATCGTTGGTATTTCTTTTTCCTTCTGACTTACTTCACTGAGCATAATCCCTCACTGAGTAGTTTTCCATTGTGTGTATGTGTCTATATAACACATCTTCTTGATCCAGTCCTGTTTTTGGACCTTTAGGTTGTTTCCATATCTAGCTATTGTAAATAGTGCTGTAATGAACATAGGAATGCATGTTTCCTTTTAAATTACTGATTTTTGTGTTCTTTAGGTAGATTTCTAGGAGAGGAATTTCTGGGTCATATGGTAGATATATTTTTAGTTATTTGAGGGTCTTCAACACTAGTTTCCATAGTGGTTAGACCAGTTTACATTCTCCCAAGCAATGTAAAAGGGTTTTTTTTTTTCCTCAAATTTTTCTTTCTTGGGATACTTTTGATTACTGTTTCAATAACCTTGTTTACAATCAGTGTGTTTGTGATCTTCTGTGTTTCCAAGATGCCTGATATGGCTTTTCTTTTTGATTTATGATTCTATTTGTTTAGAGTTCTTTCCCCTTTTTAGAACTGAGACTAGCTAGAGACATGTCAATTTTAATTTTTCTAAGAATCAGCTTTCTTTCATGCATCTTTTAAATTGCCTTTTTGAATGACTTTACTTGTTTACTTCCAACTTTTTTAAGATTTATACAAGAACCAGGGTACAGGCCAGATGTGCAGGAGGGTGAGAGGACTCACCAGAGACAGAGCCAGGAACAGAACAGGCAGACTGACAGAAACACACTGCTGAGGGGAGAAGCGGGTGAGACAGGAGAGGTTCACCTTGCCATGTGGGATTCCTGCCTGCTGGCCGGGATTGAACCTGCACCGCAGAGGCTGTGGACAGCCTCAAATTGTGGCAATCAACTGTCTGCATCACCAGGGAGGCCCTCCAACCTTTTTATTTCCCTCCTTCTGCTGGCTTTTAGTTTCATTGGGTATTTTCTCTAATTCCTTACACCATTAATTATAACTTTGGTTGTATTCCATTAGGTAGCTCATCTTTATATTTTTATTAGTCTGTCTATTTTTTTTTTTTTGTATTTTACCTTTGTGACTTAAGTGTTATTCCGAAATATCTTGATTAATCTTCACGTTTGATTTTCTTCCAGGTTTGATCTTGTGGTTGACTTTTAGTTCATGCCTCTGTGAACTGTTACTTGTGTTCAATCTGCATATATTTATTGAGACCTATTTTGTTACACAGCATATGTTCTATCCTTAAGAATGTCACATGTTTCTTAACAAAGATGAATATCTCTCTCGGTGGTGGTGGAAAATTTTGTATATGTCTATTAAGTCCATCTGATCCATTACTTTCTATTTTTTTTTAAAGATTCATCTATTTATGCACACAAGAGCTGGGGTACAGGCCAGAGTCATGGGGGCAGTGAGAGGATTCACCAGAAACACAGTGGGGAACAGAACAGGCAGATTGACCAAAGTACACTGCTGAGGGGAGCAGCGGGGTGAGCCAGGAGAGCTCTGCTGCACCATGTGGGTTGCTCCCTGCCTGGCCTGGAAATCAAACTCACGTTGCAGTGGCTGCAGAGAGCTTCATAGGTTACATCTTAACCCTTGCACAACCAGGGAGGCCCCTTTTACTTTATTTCTTAATTTTTACTTTATTTCTTAATTTTTCTTAATTTTTTTTTTGTTTGTTTTTGCTTTCAGTTTGAAATGAGAGGACTCTCCAGAGACAGAGTGGGGAAAAGAAAAAGAACAGGCAGATTGACCAAAGTACACTGCTGAGGGGAGCAGCGGGGTGAGATATCTATTCATTGACACAAGTATTTTGTTGTGATTTCTTACTATTATTGTGATTATGTCAATGTGTTGCTTAAGTTCTGTTAACAGATGTTTTATATAGTTAGGCACACCTGTGTTGGGTGCAAAAATATTGATGACAGTTATACCTTCTTGAATAATTATCCCCTTGATCATTCTATAGTGCCCATTTTTGTTAGTAATTTCCATTTTGACTGAACATCTATTTTATTATGAAAATAGCTGTTCCTGTTTTTTTTTTTTTTTCAATCTATCTGTTAATTTATTTATTTTACTCTGTGTTACTAACTTGAAAAAGCTTATTCTGGAATTTCACTTGAAGTCTTTAATAAGTGAGATATAGTAAGTTAAGTGTCATTTTACGGTATGAAAAATCTTGGGCAATAGGTATTTTCTAAAAAGTTGTCTGGATAACACTGCAGGAAAAGGCAACCTGCTGCCTTTTCAGTGGATTTTCAAGTTCCAATCAAATTCCAAAATAATACAAAATTGTTACTGGCATTTTTATTTCATAGAATTACTTTTTAATGAAGTGCCAACGTTACACATCTTTCTCAATATTTCAACAATAAAAGATTTCTCCCCTTAGGTGCGGTCGCCATAGTTCTCCCACCATCAAAATACCCATAGTTGTCTACCCTAGCACATTGTGCTCACTTCCCCACCCCAACCACTCCTACCCCTCTCTTCCTGGGTGCCTCAGATATATGGTCAGCTTTCAAGGCTTGGTTTTAAATTTGTCTTTGTTGACAGTTTGGCTTCTCTATAATCCACATATAAGAAATACCATCCAGTATTTATCTTTCTCCAGGTTTATTTCAATAAAAATAATCTCATCCAACTCCATTCATGTTGTCACATAGCATGAGTTTATCTTTTTACATTGCTAAGTGGCATTCCATTGTGTAAACATAGATATTCTCTTTTTTTTTAAGATTTATTTATGCATACAAGAACTGGGGCACAGGCCAGAGGTGTGGAGCATGAGAGAATTCACCAGAGACTGGGGAACAGAACAGGCAGACTGACTGAAATTCACTGCTGAGGGGAGCAGGGGGCAAGTCAGGAGAGGTCTGCTGTGCCATGTGGGTAGCTCCCTGGATGGAGATTGAACTCATGCTGCAGAGGCTGCAGATAGCTTCATAAGTTGTATCTTAACCCCTTGAACCACCAGGGAGACCCAGACATACATATTCTCAATTTACTCATCTATTTTGTGGCACATAGGTTGTTTCCATGTGGTGACTATTATCAACAGTGCTGCAATTAACATAGAAGTGCAGGGTTCCTGGGCCTCCCTGGTGGTACAGGGGGTTAAGCACACAGCACTGTGAAGCTGTCCACAGACACTGCAGCATGAGTTCATTCCCCGGCCGGCCAGGGAACAACCCACATGGTGCAGTAGACCTCTCCTGCCACTACCGCTCCTCCCCTCAGCAGTGTATTTCAGTTGGTCTGCCTTTTCTGTTCCCAATTCTGTCTCTGGTGAATCCTCTCACTGTCACCTCCCCCCTGACCCCCCCAACCCCCCGCCACACACACCTGTGGCTTGCATTCAAGTTCTTGTATGCATAAATAAAAAATCTTAAAAAAAAATAAGTGCTGATTTCCTTATGAATTAATTTTTTTTGTGTTCGTTGGATGATACCTAGGAATGGAATTGCTGGGTCATGTGGCAGGTCCACTTTTGTTATTTTTAAGAAACTCCATACTGTTTTCCCTAGGGTCGGAACATTCTACATTCCCACCAACAATTTAAACATGTCTCTTTCTCTACAACCTATCTAGAAATTGTTGTTTCTGGCTTTTTTAATATGGGCCATTCTCACTGATGTGAGATGGTATTTCATTGTGATTTTGATTAACATTTCCCTGATAGGTGTTGATGAACATTTTTCATGTACATGTTGGCCTCATAAACTTCAGAAACATTTTTGTGTTTTTGTTCCCAGCAGCTAGAAAAACAAAGGAGAAGATAAACAGTAGGTACTACATCTAACTTAAAACCTTCAGTGGAGTGAAAGAGGCAACATCCCAAATAAAGAACATCATGCTGAATGATAAAAATATTTGAACACCATACATCTGATAAGGAATTGATGTCAAAGATCTACAAAGAATTCAAAAAGAAAGCAAACAACCCAATCAAAAAATGGTCACAAGAACTAGAGATTGGTCCAATGAAGATATTTGTCCTTTTTTTAAGATTCTATTTATTTTTATGTAGAAGAACTGGGATGTAGGCCAGAGGTGTGGGGGATGAGAAGTTTTACCAGAGACAGAATGGGGAGCACAGCAGGTGGATCTACTGAAATACACTGCTGAGGGGAGTGAGAAAAGAGTTTGTTTTATTCTACTTACATAGCTTCCTTGATTTTGTTTTGTAGGATATTCATTTGTTTTACTTTATTTTCTTGCATGTCCTTGATCAAATTTCCTGTATCTTCTCTGGGTTATTCTCTGAGTTCTTTCAATTCATATTGATGGCAAGCTTGAATTCTGTATCTGATAGGAGGAAAAAGATCTTCCATGTCTTTGTGATCTGATTCTGGATATACGTTCTACATATTTAGTGTTATATTCCCCTTAAGACTTCTGTGGCCATCCTGGTGTTATTCCATCTCTTTATTCTTCCCCACTACTTCAATGCTGTGAGTTTCACTTTTATGTGTGCCTCCTCATCTCTTACCCTGGCCTAGGACACTCACTAGAAGGTATTTGGGGGTCATTACTATTAGGGCACTGCATTGCCTTCACCGAGGCCTGACTTGCTCCTGTGTTTTCCCAACAGGTGTTTCCCCAAATTGGCTTAGGTCACTAATGTTATTATACAGGGCCCTGCACAACCCAGAGAGGGACATGTGTCTGCTCCCAAGGTATGGTTAGTTGCTCAACCTCAGATCAAAGTCATGTACCAAAGGTGGCCTGGTAGATCCCTATATTTTCATTCTTAAATGATATGACAATCACTGTGATTCTCAAATTATTTATATTTGGTGAAATAGTATGGCAGTTTTCATATAAACTTTTGAAAACAAAACTGATGATGGCTACTCCTAATAACCACTTCCTGGTAACCACAATGATATTAATATTTCAAGTTTATAAACAATTTTTAAAATTAAATCAAACAGAACATATTTCATGCAACATAATGTTTTCCCTCAGTTTAATGGGACATAGCTGACTTACATCACTGTATCATTTCAAGATATATAGCTTAACAGTTTGATTTGTATCTATATTGTAAAGTGATAACCACAATAAGTTCAATTAATATCTATCATCTCATGTAAAAACAATGAAAAAATAAAGGAAAATGTTATCCTGAGGTAAGGTTTACTCTCAAGACATCTCCTATATATTATACAACAGTGTTAACTATAGTCATCATATTACACATTTCATCCTTAGTATTTATATTATAACTGGAAGTTTGTACCTTTTGATCACCTGTCTCCATATCCCCTTAAAGCACCCTCCACCTCTATTAAACACAAATGTCATCTCTTTATCTAGTACTTTATTTCTAAAATTCTACATATAGGAGCCTCCCTGGTGGCACAGACGGTTGAGCATAGCGCTGTGAAGTTGTCTGCAGCCTCTGCAATGCTGGTTCTATCCCCGCCGGCTGCGGAGCAACCCACATGGCACGGCAGACCTCTCCTGTTTCACCCACTGCTCCCCTCAGCAGTGTATTTCAGTCATTCTGCCTGTTCTGTTCCCTACTCTGTCTCTGGTGAATCCTTTCACCTCCTGCATCTCTAGACTGTACCCCAGCTCTTGTAGGCATAAATAAATAAATCTTTAAAAAATTAAAAAAAAAATAAATTCTACATATAAACTAGATACTTTTCTTACTTCCATCAGTGTATTTTTTTTAATATTTATTTATTTATGGATACAACCACTGGGTACAGTCAGAAGCACAGGAGGGTGAGAGAATTCACCAGAGCCAGAGTGGGGAACAGAACAGGCAGACAGACGAAATACACTGCTGAGGGGAGCAGCGGAGCAGCAGGAGAGGTCTGTCGTACCATGTGGGACACTCACCGGTGGCAGGGAATCAAACCTGCACTGCAGAGGCTGCAGGCAGCTTCGCAGCCCAGCACTCAATAGCTGCACCACCAGGGGAGGCCCCATCGTGTATTTTTTCAGTTTAGTATTTATATATACATATATGCACATTATGTATTGATATACTACATAGACACACACACACGCTCTTCATAAATCCATCAATGGACACCTAGGTTGTTTCCATGTTATGGCTATAATAAGTGGTTCTTCTGTCTTTTAAACTTAAAGACTTTGTTTCATTTGAATGCGAGAAGTAAAAATATCGGGTCATGATTTTTTTTTTTAATGTTTTGAAGATCTTCTATAATATCTCCAATAGTGTAAGAATTTACAATCTTACCAACAACACGCAAGAAATTTCTTCCATATCCATGCCAGAATTTGTAATTTCTAGTCATTTTGATAATGGTCATTCCAATAGGTATGCATTTTACTAATGACTACTCATGTTGAACACTATTGTCATTGTTTCATTAAATGTTAGACAGATTGTCACTTGAGTAAGAGGTTTAAAACAGCTAAACAGCTATAACTCGGGCCTCCCCGGTGGAGCAGCGGTTGAGCGCTGGGTTGCAAAACTGCCCGCAGCCTCTGCAGCACCGGTTTAATCCCCGGTTGCTCCCCGGCCACCAGAGGAGGGTCCCACATCGTGCGCAGACCTCTCCTGCCGCCCGCTGCTCCCCTCAGCAGTGTATGTCGGTCCTTCTGCCTGCTCTGCTCCCCACTCTGGCGAATTCTCTCACCCTCCCACGCTTCTGACTGTACCCAGTGCATGTATAAATAAATAAATAAATCTTTAAAAAAAAAAAAAACAGCTATACCTCTATAGATCTTTCACAGTAATAAGATTTATATTGTCATGATTGTTTATGGATAATAAAAGTAAACATTAGACAATTTCTTTTTTTAAGAAGCTTTATTTTATTTATTCATGTTGAGGTATAGGTCAGAGGTGCATGGGGGTGAGAGGATTCACCAGAGACAGAGAAGGAAGCAGAACAGGCAGTTCTACTGAAATACACTGTTGAGGGGAACAGCGGGTGAGACAGCTGAGGTTTGCTGCACCATATGGGCTAGCTCCCTGGTCAGGGATTGACTGTGTATAGCTTCACAGTGCTGAAACTTAACCCCTAGCATCGCCAGGGAGATCCAACATTAGACAATTTCTAACAGTTAAATTTAGAATATCATTTCTTATTTGGAAATAGTTATTTCAAGCACATTTTCATTCTGAATAGTTGCAGATTGACTCAAAATCATCAGCTAATATTTCTTAAGTATTTAAATTTATTTAACATCATTGATAAAATGTCTAAAATGTGCCCCAAATTCCAAATATAATTTTAAATGAACTATCATATTTTGATGATTATATAAATCAGAAAAAAAATCTATGTGGTATATCATAACTTTGGGGGGATTTAATGGTTTTTCTTTCCTAATTTTAACTGAAATAGTGCTACCACATTTGTATCCTACCAAATCTTACCAACATCAATGTTGAACATAGATGACTTGGTAGAACTCAGAGACTCAGTTAGGCAACCTGAGTGAGAGTGTAGGCACAGGAACAACACTACAACCAGGTGCATCTTCCAATCAGCAGACGTATTGACCAACAAGAGTCACACATCAATGAGAATGCAGTCACTCCCTTTAAATGCTTTGAAGTCCAGTGAGGAGACATAAAATTAGGTTGATAATTCTGTCATAAAGTGTTAATAATATCTTTGGAACCATGGAAATACTGAAAAATATTAATCAAATTAGCATCTGTATTTCCAGGAATACATCCATAAGATCAGTGGATTCACATATGTTGTGGGAATACATATACATACACACACACACACACATATATATACCTATATTTTGAAGTTCTATACATCATTCTGGGAAGAAAAAGGAGCTATGGAATTCCCACCACAATAAGTTACATCTATGAAAGTGAAGGTATATCTATTAACTTAAAATAGAAATAAACACCATATCTTGGGAGGCTGGAGGAAAGTGAGTTTAGGCAATGTTAGATTTGTTCCAGACTAAATGATTTGCTCCCAACTAAAAGGTTTTTAGAATTTGAAAGAAAGCCAGTATCTCTGTTTTGGGTGTCTTAGAACTTTAGAAACATGATTAGCTGAAACTGACTGGCAGAATCATACTATGTAATATTGAAACAATGACATTGAGAACTAAGAGCAGTAGTAGCCTCAGAGATCAGGGTAGGGTCATGGCCACCTTGGATCTGCCATTTGGTTAAATATGTAAGTCTGCTCCTGCCAGAACCCACCATGCCCTATGGAATCCAGCAACAAAGATGTTTGGATAAATTCCATAAACTGGAAGAAAATAGGGGAATATTTAAGTTTTTAAAATATTTAATATGTGCACAGAAAAGAACTGTAGTTTTAGTCTAGCCTCAATGTAAGAGAAACAAGAACATGAAAATAAATAGCAACATTTGTGATTACTCTGAGTTTAAAATTATGTTCATGTATCAGTGAGTTCTTGATTTTGGTAAGCATACCTGAAATCTGATTTATACTTAATCTGTTTAATAAGCTATTTTTTTCCTTTTTATTGAGGGAGGATTGGTTTATAACAATCTGTGATCTGAGCATATACATTCACATCATATCTACCATAGACCTTTACCATAGACCAAACACATTTCAATTAAAAACTCTAAGTCTTTCAAAACTGTTTCTATTTTCACGTAACTCAATTTCAAATGAATGGTGTTCACAATATTAATATGTTAATAATTATCTGTATCAAATCCACTCTTTCAATGTTATAGTTTTAATGAAAGAGCAAAAAAGATAGGTAATTAAGTTTTTCAGTTATCTCGTTTTATTCGTGTACACCCATTTAAAAATACTAACCCTAAAAG